CCAAACAAATTAGTGTAGGCCTATTTTTAAAACATAATTAAAAAAAAAAAAAATTCGGTAGCAGTACCTTTTTTCCACATTCTCCCCACAATTGGAACAATATTCCACTAATAATAAAAGAAGCACAATCTTTGGACACATTAAAGTCACTACTTAAAACCCACTTATTTCAACAAATAATTGTTTAATAATTTATCTCTCTTTATTCAAACATCGGTGTGGCCTGCTCCGTCTCTTGGGGCCACTATCTTGGTCGCAGACTCTGAGCACTCGGTTGTCTGTGACAGGGCGAATGTGAATTTTGTTGTTGTTTTTTTTTTGTTTGATGATTTTACAGAAGCAAGAAATAAGATCAATAAGTAAGAATAGTAAAATGAAGTGTCTTAATTCGTCGTTTGGCAAAATATTTTATTAATCTTTTGATGCAAAAAGTGGAATGAATTTAGTGTGCTGTATTAGAATGTGAAATTGCCAAAAAAAAAAAAAAAAAAAAAAAAAAAAAACTTCAAATGGGCGGCCAACAGGGGCCTTCAGCCAAAAGCATCCGAGAATTTTACCTTAGGTCCATAAATATAGCAAAGTACCTGGAAAATTCCTTTGGCCCGTGACATCCAAATCTAAAAATAATTTGCAAAATAAATTACACTTTAAAAAAAAAAATAGAAAACCAACATTTGCAGTAGGTGTTACTATGTGATACCCTCTATAAATACTGTAAAGTAATATACTGACTGTAAAATAATAATTCTATGTTTGAAAAGTGTGTGTAAATAAGAACAAATTAAGGAAATTTTGAGTCTGAAATCGGCCCAAAAGTAAGAACACTGAGCCTGGGAAAAAATTTACTGGTTCTTATAAAAAGAAGGTGTAATTGAATTCAAAGTCGCCCTCTATTTTATTCTCTCTTCTCAGGAATGGCAGATTAACTACGGTAAACAATAACGAAAGCCCAATAAACATTTCCCAGTTTACTCATCTTTGCGGAACAAATTTTAAGGATAAGAAAATATGTGTGCATATTAGATAGATTTGTTATGTAAGTCAAAGTAGAGTTTTTAATTAAAGCTATTAATTCTTTCACAATTGGCATCGATCTCTCTTTGTTAAGCCTACCTAGCTAGGCTAGGGCCTAGGCCATAGATAGTTAGGCGGCTAGTCTAGAAGGCCTACGCCTGCCAGTCCGAGTCCTCTTTCCTATTCGGGTCCCTACCTACTGTACCGAGGCATTTCTAATAGCCTCTCAATTTAATGAACGTAAAGATAGTAAGACTAAGAGTACAGGTCTAGCCTGCATCATAAAAGAAATTATTCAAGATTTATATTGTTTTCTTCCAGTAATTTCTTAATTTAATACATTTAAATTTTAATAGCGGTATGTATGTTCATAGAGAAAGAAAATAAATTTAAATTTATTTTGGTATGTTAAATAAATGTAAAACTAGGTAGGCCTAGGTCCAAGTAGCCTAGCCTATAGGCCTAATAATTTAAATACTTATTTTTTAATAAATGATAAACGAAACACACTTAATTAGTCTGCAGGTCCAGTTGTTCCAACCTGGAACTCAAAATTCAGGAGACTGGATGTGCGCCTCCGTCGACCGTCCAAAAAAGTATATATCTTTAAAATGTAGGACACTCAACTAATTTATCACGAAAGTAACCTGATTTAGCTGATTTGGTATCATTTTGAATCCTATTTCCAAGTCTAAAGTAGTTTAAGTAATACTCCTTTTTAGTTCTATTCCTTTTACATTTTGAGATATTTATCACGTTGACGAATGTTAAGGAGAATATTGTCTATTATCCATTGTTCGGTGTGTCCTTTAATGCAGACCTCTTTTACAGGTGCTATGTCATCAATAATCCTAAGCAAGATTTGTTTACACATTACCGATGCTTTATTTACTTCTTTACAACTAAAAACTCTAAACCAATCACTCAACCTCAACAGGATGATGTATGAAATGCATTTTGTATAGTATGTTTTCAGTCAAATTTGATTCATTAAAAAATCTAAATACTGATAATTATAATTTAAAAAATGCAGGGGCGGATTTAGGGGGCCCCCCCCTTTTGAGAGGTAAAATTTGGACATCTCTGGATCCGCCCCTGAAATGTGTGTGTTTACTTAAAAAGAAATAATATAAATGTGCGTATTGCAAGTTTTTTTTTAGCTTTGATTGACTCTGCTTTTTTCAGAACTGAGTGGGTTTCAGCAAGGGCTGTTTTACTGTCATTACCACTTTTATACACGTCATATGGATGGCACGGTCGGTTTAGCTGTGCCGTCCATGTGACGGTTCCATATGATGGTTCTAAGGAACCAAACACTGTGAGTTCGAATCGCGTCTTTTATTCAAATTTTTTTTTTTTCAATTTTAAAGTATTTTTTTCTTCAATTTAAAGATATTTTAATTTTGTACAAAATATTTTATCTAATTATTTGAAAAATTCTCTCTTTGAGGAGCTCTAGAAGTACTCGACTGACTGATTTATTAATTAATATATCTTGTTTTGTGCAGTGCACCACCAATATCAAGGACTGTACATACTGCTGTTATCACTAATAGGGCATGTTCCAATCACGTCTTGGTATTCAATTTTTTTCTTTTTTTTCCCCAATTTTTAAGACAGTCTTTTTTTTCTATTTTAAGACATTTTAATTTTGTGAACATTCTAATTATTTAAACATTTTTATGTTATTTGCTCTTCTATTTTTTTTGCCAAACAGCTCTCAAATGTCTTAATGTTCAGTTATATTGTACAAAAAAAAAAAGTTAAACACTGAGGCGTAATTCAAACTGATGACTTTCAGTTCCTTACAACATATAATATTAATAACTTATGCCACTGTGTACATTATTTAAGCATGGGAGATATTTCCTCCATGATACTGTCCTCATCAGAACATTCGAGATTATGAGAATTTGTTTTTAGTGATGCAATTTTATTATTATGCATAAATTTCAAGAAATGGGCATTAAGTCCAAAAATTAATAATAACAAAGTAAAAATTTTTAATTAACAAAATTCTGGTTAATGTATGTAAAGCCTATTTGTAAAAGTAAACAAACACATGTGTTTATTTCCTGATTTTCAAGGTGTTAATTACATCGTGGCCTAACTTGTTTTGTGGAGACCTGTAGTACATTGTAGATACAGCTTTCAAGAATTCCCAGCCCTTTCAGCCTGCTAAAAGTCATTTTAATACATTTTGCTACCATATTTTATATTCTATTGTTTATAACTTATAACAGAATTTAGAATACAGTTTTGAAGATGGAGGAAGAGGAAGTAGTTATTAAGAATGATGTTGAAGTTGGTGCTAGCTCTGCTGTGACTCTTGAATGCCCAGATGTAGATGACATCAGGCTACAGAGACTTGGTCGTACAAGAGCTGCTCTTCAGGTAAAATAATGTAATGTACTTAGATAATAGCACTTTTTACTCGTCTTGAAGCGTGGACTAGCTTGTACAGTAACTCTCTTCACCTCTCTTAAGGGTCACTTTACGTCTAAGCTACCCGGTATAACAGTTCCAGCTACACTTGTCTGTCCACAACAGGGTCTGTATGGGCCAGAACACCAGGGTAACACCCTATTCGTCTCGAAAGATGCACTTCGTTCTTTTTCACTTAAGCCAATTGTTAGGTCTAACTCTAAGGTTTATAGTCCTTATCCGAGAAGACTTGTTCTATCACTGGAACCATACGTTACCATGCTAACTCAAACCAGAGCTGATATTATGTGTGTATTTTTTAACTGCTTAGCCAATTTGACTTGCCAATTAAACCATAGGGCTATAATAAGTTAAACCACTCTTGTTTATAGTGAAGCTGTAATTTGCTAGTTAAAAGGCTTGTCTTCACTAATCAAAGGATTGTGTGCTTAAATCACTGCGACTACTGGCTGCCAAAATTCGTCCATGCTTTAACCTTTCTATATGCAATGCCAGTCTGGCATTCTGAGCAGGTTGTCAAGAATATTTGAGTGGTTGTTAAGATGTTCCTGCAAAACCTGTCAGTGTCAGTTTCCAGGATTTTTTCTCACAACAAAACAACTCCACTCCATAATACAAAGCCTTGTTATGAGACTTAGTATATGTATTTCTGTATGTTTGTCTTGTGAAGAGATTTGCCAGTATGCTATCTGACGGTGATTTAGTCGCTATTGGTAATCCTTGGCCATGTGCCTGAAAGAAAAAAATAGAAAAGTAAATAAATTTGATCTATCAATGTTAATTGCTTTCCTTTTATTATTCAATTAAATTACAAAATTTCAGGAATGACAATAACAAAAAAAGAATACAACTGTAGAATGGATGTCTAATCCTTGGAATGTTCTTACCGACATAGATTCCAGGCATTTGATTGGTTAAAAGCCGGGCAATAGATTCAGCCATGCTCTCCTAGCTGGTCAATTGTCTTTATGTTTTGCCCTACTCGCTGTTCGTTAGCTGAGCCTATTGCTGAGTGCGCGCTTCTTCTATTTTAATCAAGTTTTATATAAGCTGATGACCTATGTAAAAGCTGACGATCGCTCTGCTGCACACTGCGTACTGGTAGGCTAGCTAATAGGAATAACAATTATGGCAAAGTGTTCCAGATTTTTACTGGTTGATGAACATGATTTAAAAGTGTTAGTGAGTTCAGGAGCCAGTGATAATACGAAAAAACAAGTTAACACGTTTGCTGCCAGCAACGTGTATACTTGCCAACGGGGTGTTGCCTTGGGCGCCAGGGACGAGTATACTCGTCAAAATCGGAGTAACATTCTAGCGTTTATAACTTCTTTATTATACATTGTAGAACCACAGACTCAATGGCTGGTAGTTTGGGGAAGATACACTTAGACGATAACATACAAATGACGCATGTTTGTTGTATTATGTTGCCGGTAGTACACTCGAGTGGTACAAGTGGGTGGGGGGGGGCGCCCTTTGAACATATATTAACCCATGTAAAAAGCGGACAAGATAACTCGCACTTGGCATAGTCAGTAGAAAATTCTATCACAGCGCCATTGATAATATTTTCCCGCCAATTTATATTAGACACATCATTTTGATGATATATGAATAGATAAAATTTCAAAAAAGTATGTTTGTACATGTAAACTTGTTTTGGCACCCGGGAAGGAACCTTAAAAAAAGGTCTGGCAGTCAACGTGTTAAGTATAAGCTGTCCGAATATTATTTGAAGAGTATCTTGAAGCCACATAGTGTGAATGAAACCGGGTCATAGTTCAAATTGTAGCCTTTAGTGTTATGGAGGCTGACTACTGTATGTCCCTTGACTTTGTCTTGGGACATAGTACAGCCTTTAGATCACCTCTGGCTATAATTTGAACATACCCTCAACCCAGTAATTTGTACAGTATATGATGTTTGTCAGACAAGCCATCTAGTTTTTTATGAACAAGTATAGTTATTACATTGCTTAATCTACTATGTGTTCCTCTCAATTATCTTTGTTTCTCATTGAAACATCTCATATTACATTTCTGTCTCTAGAGGCAAAATAAAAAGATATGTTCAAGCTCTCCCTATGTTGTATTCTTTTCTTCTTTCAATTTCAGTTCCCGACTCACTTAATTATGGTTTAAGAAATAATTAAAGAAAATTATTTCAAGAATTCCATTAACTTGCCTTTATTTTCCTCACCTAGCGCATTTGAATTTCTGTTAGTTATAATCAATTCATTCAAACTTACCCTATTTTGGAATTTTGACATCTATACTTTGCATAAATAATAACCAAACCTGAAAGCAAAGTACAGAATTTGTGCGTTGGTATTTCATTAATTCTGCACTTTTTTTTTTTTTTTTTAAGGTATATCACATATATTATTGAATACTTTGTGGTTGGTTAGAATACATCCTTTCAGCTATAAATACCTCCCATCCCAATTAAAACCCCTCTAAAAATATTAACTCTCTATAATGAACAGGACCTGTGATTTGTTTCAATAATGCCTTCTCCTACGAACATCTTTTCTAACTATCAAAACATTGTGTTATAATTCTCAAAAATAGAATAGAGTGTTAAACTGAAACCAGAAAGAATATCTATCAGCCTATGGATAAAACTCCCTTCAAAAGCAGAAAATATCAATCATATTTAGAAGGAATATTCTAATCAGAGCCAATACATCATTATAAAACAGACACGATACAGTAGTGTCTTCTACTGAAAATTAATTTTACTTCAGTTGTGTTTGTTTTAAAGTTTTATATGATAAAATTTAATTGTAATTTATACAAAAATAGGGAACATGGGTGCATTCTGTCTAACTGCAAAGTGTCAGATTGTATTTTTGCATGTTTACGGTCACATTATTTAAGTAATAATTACTCCTAATCGTTCATATATTAGAAAGTTCTTTAGTTATGGATTCAAAATTTATCAGCTAGAATCTAGATGTCATGATAAATAGAGATAAATATCACTTACTTCCTTTTTTAATAATTAAAAATAAGTTTTTATTAGATATTCCGAGAAATCTCTGGAAGATTGAGATAATATGATTTGTAGTCTAGCCTGTGTCGCTAATGGATAGTTTACTGAAACTCATCTATCACCTGACTTTGTCTTGAGATTGACAAATTTGCATGATTCTGCAACTCAATTAGCATGGTAGAGATATGGCCTCACTACAGTAGGGTAAAAAAAAAGGCAAACTCTTTTTGCTAGCCTTAATATGCATTTAAAAAAAATCATATTTAAGAAAAAAATTCACAGTTGAGTTGTAAAAAGTTAAGGCATATCGACCATTCACACTTTTTCTGATACATGATTTTAATAATTCAATCTAATAAATCAAAATTTATATAAAAATTTTCACAATACAGTAACTTTTTTTTCACAATTTTGCATTCTTAATTCTATCATGGTAATATGCTTGCTGTTAATTTATTAGGGAGCTTTCGCAAGCTTACGAAAACGTTTACGAATACCGAATACGCCATAAATTTTTTGGACAACCCTTCCCCTTCAGTAGCAGATCTGTTGCAACAACGTAAACGATTCATGCTTTTGCATGAATTAAGGATCATATTCAGCTCACACAGCATATTGTCAAGAACATTTTAGGCATGAATGACGATATTGATAATGACGTATTCTTTTTCGTAAGGTTGTGAAATCTCCCTAATAACAAAATAATGTTTTAATAAATAAAAAAAAACATGATTAAGCATAACTGATGTATACAGTCCTTTCATCTTGTTATCGATAAAGTTTGTCAACGCTGCCATTCAAGTATGGTTTTATATTGATAGATTTATTGCGTTAATCCGCACAGGCTCCCAGCGGGTACATATTGCCTCATTGCTAAATGTCAGTTGTTTTTTTTTGGATTTACTGTTTTGTTAATTCTACAAATGAGGGTCATAATACAGTATGAAGGCCTACAGTGTGTTATAAATTATATCAACAAGGCTCTTTAGATTTGAAAGTATTTAGGCCCTACTCTTATCCAGGTATGGAATTATAACAACTTCTGAATGAACAGAGGTAATTGCATTTTCAGAATCGTAAGCCTTTTGACTTTATTAATATGTCACCACATTATATATTAATATTATTAATTGCTATTACTGTATTATTTATAAATTGTTGTCTTTCATTGTATTTTTTTTTAATTGTATGGAGAAGATTTGCAAATGTTTATCTTTCAACTTTATTTCAGACTCATGGTCTGTTATCAAGCAAACATGTATACAGTATAAACATAAATGAATATGGGAATGACAAAATTGTCATTAGAAAATCTTCAAATTGAAAAATAGGCCAATTAATTTTCAGTTTATACATGAAAATTCCAAAAATTATTTAGAAACATCCTTCTTTAACCCAATTGAGAAAGTGTTGAAAGCCCTCTTAGTAGTAACTAAGAAAGTTATAAGATGAACTGTCTGCCAAAAAAAAAAGAAATTTGAAAATCCTCAATGATAAAATTTTGTTATTGTACTTCCAAACAGAAATAAAATATTTTCACTGATTTACAGGGATTTTACTACAAAAATCATTAAATTTATGAGTATTCAAAAGAGTACACAAGGTATTGGAAGAGACATTTTTCACATTTAATTTTTAGTTACACTTATAATGCAAATTAGGCAATTTAAATATAGAATTGAATTTTTAAATTGTTGAGCTCATTACAGACAGTGCATCTTTATGCGAACTACAGTACTGTAAGTGCAGAATCGATAGCACTGTAACTGTACAAGTTATCGAAAAAAGTAATGACTATAGGGGTGTACATTAAGTATAGTACTACTAGTGTCAGCGTATTAGAGGCTTGGCACAGATGCAAGTGTACAGAAGTCAATAACATTGATTTCAGAGGTGCAAGAACTTGGCGCTAATCTCATCATGTTTCTTTGATCTTTAAATTAATTTCACAACTCTATGTTCAATCAATATCTATAATACACTTTCTACCATTGCAGAGATTAATAATATTCCAAAATAATAATTTATTCAAATAGTCATCATCAATACATTTTGATTCAGATCTTGTTTTTACTGCATTTCTCTATGTAATTTTTTCTAATATTCTCGTTATCATCATACTGTATTCATCTAGGAATTTGTATGCTTTTGGTTTTGGAACATCGATTAAGGAAAATGGAGACTATTTTCAACTGGAAGATACAGTAGCTCAAATTACTATACATTTACAAATTATCAGTAGAGGACATATTTTGAATCAAATTTTGTATGTTGATAAAATGCATGAGAATCATGTATCACTCGGTGTCTACTTTTAAATATTTTTATTTTTCTTAAAATAAAAAAAAAAAAAATAATTTTATAAAAATACTGAATATAAACTTACCTGACCTCTATTGCTTACCCAGAGGCATGAAATTGAGAGGGGGAGAAAGTTTTGATTTGTATGCTATATGAATGTGGCTTAAATAGTAGCTTTTGAAGTGTGTATAAGTGTGGATTGCATATAGTATTGACTCGGTACATGCAGCCTGGTTTTATAATAAGATTGCCACTTAGATTACAAACCTTAAAAAAAAAAAAATACTGTATCTGCCATGCAAAAAGTCCAGAAAACATCTAAAATCAAATTTCATTTTAAACAAAACCACTTATGCTGTAATAAAACTCACAACAAAATATTAGAAAAATGTCCCACACAACTGAGCAAAGACTATATGAATCAGAATCCGAATAAATTTATATTGTCATGAAATCATTACAAAGTCATGAAAATTGTCTTCCATGCTACGAAGATTAAAAGTATAAAAAAATATAGATTTAAAATAATACAAAATGATTAAATGGTACTGTATTAATTAATTGACAAAGGAAAATATTTTCTTATTTTAATTTTCAGTTGAAAACAATTATAGACTTATTGAAATTACAAATTCTTATGAAAAAGAAATGTTCAAGTTATTGATTGAGGTGGCAGTAGAATAATTATGTTCTTTTTCGGCTTGCCTAATTGGCTCATTTCCTGGGTAATTTATTAGATGTAATGTGATCTTGTTCTGATTGTTAATTAATTTTAAACCAGTACTATTCATTAAAATATACATTGACCTAGATATTTGATGGACATTGTCTTTGATTGGATAGACGCTGAATGAAATGAAAACTAATGGGGACAAATGATTAGTCACATTTTCAAACAGTTCTGCTCAGGTGGTCTACTTGTGGTAATCTCAGATTTTATTTCAACATGTTCCAGAAAAGCTAAACAATAAAAACTAAAAATCATTTATTAGTTGTTGGAATCATGATCATCACCATCACCATCGTCATTGTCATTAGCATTGCCTTTATTATTATTATCATCATCATCATAGTTTTGTCATCATTATAAAGCGAGAATTTTTTAATACCCTGTTTAAATAGTAAACTTTTTTTTATAAGACCATCAGAGGACGACGGAAAAAGAATTGTTTTCTTATTTTGTAAAATGATTTTGCCAAAAGCATCTAGGCAGAGGAGGAAATAAAAATTGATGAATGTAATCAGTGTACAGTACTGTAGTAATGAGATTGATAAATGCTCTTAATAAGGAAGAAATGTATTCCTTATTTTTGGAAATTTCAGAGAAGCGGAGGGCATACTGTAGTATCGTAAAAATAAATTAAAATGTTAACTTGTTTTCCATTTTTTGTGGTGGAGGATGACCAAAAATTAAATTTTATTTTTATATGATTGGCAGTCAAGGGGTTGGCTAAACAAGGTATTGAAAACGTTTCCTACAGACTGCAATAATCATTATCATGATTTGGGATTCCTCTTTGACTATCCATCATTGCATAGTCATCATCATCATATATCACAATTATCATTTAGTATCATCATTCTTTATCATTATCATTATAATTGATATTATTATCATTGTCATGATGGTCTATGACCATAATTTCAACTACCATCAAACTTGCGTAGACTTTTGACTGGTAATCTGTGTAGTTACTGGATTTTATCCAGTTTGAATTGAATGCGTTTCAAGTCTACTGCATAGTAATCTACTTAACTGGTCATTAGTTTAAGTTATCATCAGTATAATCATCTTCATCATTATCTTCATCATCATTCATCATTGTCATCGTTATCATCATCATCATCATTATCATCATCATTATCACCATCATTACCATCATTATCATCTTCATCATCATCATCATCATCATCATCATCATCATCATCATCATCATCATCATCATTATCATCATCATTAATGTTACCATTAGTTCATTACTGTCATTTATTATAATCTCATGATCATGATCACCATTAACACCACCACCACCACCATCATGATTAAATGATTGTCATTATTGATGATCATCATTATCGTCATCATCATCATTGTCATTCTTTACCATCATCATCATATTCCATTATTGTATACTCCATTATTGTTCGTTCTTATTCTGTATTATCACTGTAAATGTCATCATTCATCACTATTATCCATCACCATCATTCACCTTCCATCATTGCTTTAGCCATCATCGTCATGCTAACTTTAAATTTATAAAAATTACATACAAAATATTAATAGCCCACCTGGCATAATTAATGCCTGTGAGTGTGTAATGAGATCACCTGGTCGCTTCGCTACCCTCATAACGTACGTCAATTAGATTGCTGGTCCGTAATAAGTTGCCACCAGAGACACTGACTCATATCTCCGCATCTTGTGCACTTAACATGCTCAGCCAGTCAGTCTCTTCCTAGATCTTACCACTACTACTTCAGCTCTTGGATTTTTCTCAATATAGAATATCAAGGCATAGTGATGAATCTCTAAAGTGGCTATATACAAGCATGTAGTTCGTGATGCACTGCAGCGGATATGATTTAAAGGACAGCGAGTAAAAGTCGTTGAAGCCTATTGGCATTTGTTGATTTACGTGTGTATTATACTCAGTGAAGTACTGCATTTTGGACGATACCATTTGATTTGGGATTGCAATTACAAAAAAAATACACTTACCTGTGTAACATCCATTCAATTATTGATTGTCGGATGGAATAGTTTGCTACAATTTACTACTGTACCTCTTATTTGGCGCGTTGTCAATCAATCAATCAATCAGTTAATCAATTGGTAAATTATGGATCTGGTGCTTTATTTGCAGGCTTTTGATCCTGTCCTGGCTCGCTCGGTATTACCACCAAATGTAAGTATAACCTTTTTTTTATTCTTTTCTTGATGTGTTCTTCTGTTAAACTGGGTGTTGATGGGCCGCGAAGTGGTTCACTGTTTTAGCACTAGGCACAACATTTTCATGATTGTATATAAACATTTAATAAAAAAAAAAAAAGGTAGCCTCTCACCTGTATTTTTGAGGGTCTTGCTTGGGGTGAATTGTGTTTAAAATATGTGCATTCTATTAAACTAAAATTAGAAACTATAATTTGACATGAAGTTGTACTAAAATCAATATTTGGTAGTGTATCAGTATTATTTACTCTCTGGGGTGGCTCTCACGATCTTAATTTAAAGTCTTCTGACTATTACTGTAATTTAATAGTTTTGTCAAGAACAATTTGTAATACCAGTAATTTTGGTGGGATGAAATCTTATTAATTTCATGATTAATGAAAATAGAATGTATTGTCAACAAAATTACCTAGTATGATTCCATTTTGTCATTAATTTTTAGTTAATATCTTAAGTCATAATAAAGTACCTTTTTCAAAAATATATATTATGTAAATACTCTTCTAATATTTTTAATACAAAAATGTATTCAAGATTTTGATTTTTTTTTTTGTAATACAATTTAATCAGTCTATTTTTGTAAATGATAATTTCAAAATTTCTTGTGATTGTTATGAGTTGTTTGCAAATTGCATTATGCAGTTGGTTCGATAAAGTACTGTTATAACATGAAAAAATATTAGATATTAAAATGTATACCATATATTGTACAATGAATTCATAATAACACAATGAATACCGTAAATGATAATGAGGTACACAGAGATCCCAAGTCTCCCGAAAATTCGCGGGTTCTCCCGATTTTTGAGGCCGTCTCCCGCCCTCCCGATTTTTATTAATATCCTGATTTTTTTAAATATCCCGAAAATTTCACGAAAAATGTGATTTCCATGATGTCATAGAGCAATGAAACAAAATTTCTTATCTTAAGCCAATATACTATGGCGCTCGCTCAGCCATAAAATGTCATAAACAAGGCCAGGGAGTTGTTATTTAAGTTGTTTATCAAAATAACAACTCCAGGGCAAGGCAGGCCTAGATCCGTGGTGTTTATCCTCCATGTTATGATCTTTTCCATCCAGTGCCGACCTCATTCAATGAGATGGCTGTCAGTTGAGTAAATAAATTTCAACAAATTAACGAAAT